CACGGTCGACTACGTGGGAGTCCAGCGACATAGCCATTACGCTATAAAAAGGAACATTTATATTCTTCAAGAAGGTATCTATTATTTTAGTATAATCCTCCCTTACCCATGGGGGATATATTTCCAGACCCCCAGAGGGTGCCTGAATCCATGGATAGCACTAAACCCAATATATACTGTTTTTTTTTTTCTTATATACACATATCTTTCTTAATATTTGTAAGTTAAGTGCAGTAAGAAATTAACAAAATAGGAACTAGTAGGTGGCATGGTGGACACTCCCATATGATTGACCATGGTTTGAGCCCTGGACCTGGTGGCTTGCCTTCTGACTCTCTCTCTCTCTGTCTCTCTCTGTGTATCTTTCTTGTCAAATTTTTAAAAATGAATAAATAAATTTAAATATTTTTAAAAAAGAAATTAACAAAATAACTAGTAGAACAGTTGTAACTATGATAAAATTTGGATGAATATGGTGTCTCAAATTATTGTACTGTACATCAGGTAATTGATAGGGGGGGGAAACAAAACCACCGGATAAGGGGAACTACTCTAAGTGGTAGTTGTCATCTGTTTCTTTTTTGTTTTAAGAGGCTTTTGCCGTAGTGCACTTGGGCTTGCCAGAGAGAAAGACAGACAGTGAGAAGGAAAGTGAGAAATCACCCCCAAGGCCACACTGCAATCCCGTCTTCATTCTTCTCCCGGGGTCTTGGGCATGCATGCAGACGTACCTGGGACTCAAAACACAGTTGGCCATGTGAGAGTCCAACAATGTGACTGCTATGCCATCTGCTGGTCCCAGTTGTCATCTGATTAAGATGGAAAGACTTATTCTGTATCTTCCCTCAGCAGCAAGACCTATGGTTGTTTGTGCTTTCTTATTCAAGAACCAGTTTCTCGCACATAACCTGTATGGCTATGTTTAGCAGGTTGAAACAGAATCACCAGAGATCAGTACTTAATGGATTTCCTTCATCTCCCTCCTTCTCTTGGTCTGTGTCTCTGTACATTTTTCCCTGTGAAGATCGTGAAAATATCTTTGGACCAGTTTTCCTTCCTTTTCTTGTGTGTGATGTTCTTTTTTTAAAAAATTGTGTTTTGACCTAGTATGTGGCGAAGTGATTAAAAGCGCTGGACTCCCACATGGCCGACCACAGTTTGTGTCCTAAACCTGACAGCTTGCTTTCTCACTTTCCCTTTCTCTTTCTCTGGTCAAATTAAAAAATATTATTAAATAAAATAAGTTTTGTTTTGTTTTTTTTGGAGAGATTTTCACTGTAGGGCGCGTGCGCTCGCCAGACAGACAGAGAGAGACATAGAGACAGAAAGCGAGAAATCACCCCCCAGGGGTGATGGTCACGCCGCAATCCCTTCTCCTCCATTCTCCTCTCGGGATCTTGGGCACGCACGCACACGCGCCCGGCGTGAGTTTTAAGCCACCGGGTCCGGGACACGAACCACGGTCGACTACGTGGGAGTCCAGCGACATAGCCATAACGCTAACTGCTGGTTCCCAATAAAATAAGTTTTTAAGAAAAAAAATCTTAGGTTTCTTGGGTCAGCCAGTGGCAGCTGGATCCCACAGCCAGCTGTGTAGTTCAAGTCCTGGTCCTGGTGGCTTGAAAAACATACCAGCTCATGTACATGTGTGCCCAAAATCACAAGAGGAGAGTGAAGGAGAAGCGGTTGCAATATGGCCATCCCCCCTGAGGAGTGCTTTCTGTTTCCCTCATTCTGTCTGTCTCTCTCCAGTGAGTTATGCACCCTGTAGCAAATTTAAAAAGAAAGAAAAACAAAGAATCTGTATTTCTTTATACCTATAATTATAGGCTGTGTGCACTTGCCAGAGAGAAGGAAAGTAAGAAATCACCCAATAGGGTAGATAGCCATGCTGTAGTCCTCCTTCATTCTCCTCTTGGGATTTTCAAGCTACTGGGTTGGAGACTTGAACCATACAGTAAGCCATGTAGGATCCAGAGCCTTAACCACCATGTCACTTGCAGATCTAAGAAAGGATTTAAGGTAGCTACTTTATCGTCATATATAATTTCAATATTTCCAATTTTTTGTTGGTTTTCCTAGTCTTTTTTTTTTTTTTTTTTTGAGAGATTTTTGCTATAGGGCATGTGTGCTCAACAGAGAAACAGAAAACGAGAAATCACCTCTCGGGGGGATGGCCATACTGCAATCCCTTTTCCTTCATTCTCTCCCTGGGATTTTGGGCTTGCACTCACATGTGCTGGATGTGAGTTTAAGCTGTTGGATCTGAGACTCGAACTGCAGTCAACTGTGTAGGAGTTCAGCAATGTAACCATTATGCCATCTGCTGGTCTCAGGTTTTTCTAATTTTTAAGAGTGTTTACATGTGGGGGCTAACAAGTGGTGTGGTGGTTGTGGCTCCGGACTCTCACATGGCTAATCGTGGTTCGAGTCCCAGACCAAGTGGCTTGCTGTCTCAGTTTCTTTCTCTCCGGGCAAATCAAAAAAATAATAATATTGGGTTGTCGGAAAAGTCATGACACATTTTTACATGGCAAAACAGAAAAATACGTCATGACTTTTCTGATGATCCAATAATAACAAATACAATTAAATATTTTTAATACTTATTTTATTTATTATTATTTTTCATTTGACCAGAGAGAAAGGAAAAGTGAGGAAGCAAGCACCAGGTCTGGGACTCAAACTGTGGTCAGCTATGTGGGAATCCAACACCTCAAACCCACCACACCACCTGCTAGACCCAAAATTAAATAATTTTTAAAAATATTTACATATGTTAAAAATTTTATTTTTAATGAGACTGGCAGGTGGTGTGGAGGTTGAGGCACTAGACTACCAAATGGTTCAAGTCCTGGACCTAGTGGCTTACTTTCTCACTTTCCCTCTCTCTGTTTCTGGTCAAATTTAAAATTGATAATAATAAATAAAATAATTCTTTAAAAAAAGAAGAGTTTTTTTTTTTGTTTTTCTTTTTAATTTTCAGTCACTGTTATTTTCCCTCTATGTATATTCTCTTGTGGTTTCATTATCAAAAGACATTTTTCTGGAACCAGCGGATGGTGTAATGGTTACATTGCTGGACTCCTACGTAGTTGACCACAGTTCGAGTACAAGACCCAGGGGCTTAAAACTCACATTGGTCACATGTGTGTGCATGCCCAAAATCCTGAGAGTAGACTAGAGAACAAGGGATTGCGGTGTGCCTGTTCTCCCTGATGGTGATTTCTTGCTTTCTGTCTCTCTGTCTCTCCGGCAAGCGCATGTGCCCTATAGCAAAAATCTCTCATAAGAAAAAAAAGAAACTTCCTCTGAGGCTGACTAGATCGCATCCTACTTAGAACTTTGTCCTTTTTATTTAGTTTGTACTTTTTATTTACTACTTACGGATAAGCTGGGTCCTTTTTTTCAGTAATTTATAAACTCCACCTGGGGTTTACAGTAGTCAGTCTTGTTTATTCATTCTTTCAGAAGTAGCCTCAGGCCTTTTTCGAATGTAACTAGTACTACTCTATAGTCAGCAAATCACTTAGTCCTCCTTCCTACCCCTTTCCCCCCAAGATATCCTCCCTCCTACCTCTTCTTTTTTATTTAATTTTGCTATAGGGTGTGTATACTCACCAGAGAGAGAAAGAGAAAGTGAGAAAGCACCCCCCATAGGGATTGGCCATGTCATAGTCCCATCTCCATTCTTTTATCAGGATTTTGGGCAGAAGCATACACATGCCTGGTATGTTTTTTCTTTTCTTTCCTTTTCAATTTTTGCTGTAGGGTGAGTGCGCTTACCAGAGAGAGACAGAAAGTGAGAAATCACCTCCCAAGGGGACGGCCACACTACAGTCCCTTCTCCATTCTCCTCTTGGGATCTTGGGCATGTATACACCCGTGCCCGGAGTGAGTTTTAAGTCACTAGGCCTGGAACCCAAACCGTAGTCAACTATGGGAGTCCAGCAGTGTAACCATTACACCATCTGCTGGTCTCCCAGTATGTTTTCCAAGCTATTGGGTCTAGGACTCAAACTGCAGGGTCGGCTGTATGAGATCCAACTGCCTTAACCACCAGGCCTCCTACTGCCCCCACCCCCTCTACTTCTTAAATCAAAATTTTTGCATCCAAAAAGAACACAACCAATTGTTAGAGGAACCTGAAAATTACATGGGCCTAGAATGATTCCTGTCCACTCTGTCATTTCTTAGGTAGCCATATTAAAATTTGTTATACGGTTTTAATCCAGGGCATAAGATTTTGCTTTTGCTTGGTCAGCCATTTAAAACCCACTGTAATACTGAAAAGCTACTATCTGGGACCAGCAGCTGGCATAACGGCTATGTCATTGGACTTCCACGTAGTCGACCCCAGTTTAAGTCCTGGGCCCGGTGGCTTAAACTCACGCCAGGCACATATACATATGTGCCCAAGATCCCAAGAGGAGAATGGAGGAGAAGGGGATTGCGGCATGGCCATCCCCCTTGAGGGGTGAGTTCTCGCTTTCTGTTTCTCCGTCTCTCTCTTTCTGGCAAGCTCATGTGCTCTATAGCAAAAACCTCTCCCCCCGCCCCCCAAAAAAAAGAAAAGAAAAGTTACTATCTTTTAAAATCTCCTTTTTTTTTTTTTTTTAGAATTATTTTATTTAACTTTATTTAACCATTTATTTATTTTAATTTGACCAGAGAGTGATAGAGAGAGAGAGCATGAGAAAGCAAGCCGCCAGGTCCGGGACTCGAACCGTGGTTGGCGATGTGGGAGTCCAGCGCCCTTGACCACCATGCCACCTGCTGGTCCCAAAAGTTACTATTTTATAAGCTGGACAGGACAATTTACAGTTTCACAATACTTGAGCAATAATTGTTAGTTTTTAAGAACAGGAATATGATATAATGTGAAAAAGTCCTGGGGTATATAAGACTCAGCTTTACTTTTTAGTAGAGCTTATTCTGATAGCTGATATTCTAATTGTATGTGTCATTACAAAAGTAAAGTTCTTTTTCTTCTTTTGTAGGCTGTCATTATTTGTATCAAAAACAAAGAATTTGAAAAGGCTTCGAAAATTTTGAAGAAACATATGTCTAAGGACCCCACAACGCAGGTAAATTTGATAACCTTTTGTTCTCATGATTAAATCCATCTTACTGCTTTTTGTGGGTAATAGGGAAAGGGTTGTCAGAAATACTAACTATTCACCTTTTAAGTATGCAACACCTCTCGCATGTTGTCCACTCTAAGGTTAGTTCTTTTTTTTCTTTTGATAGGTTTTTGCTCTAGGGCACGTGTGTTCGCCAGAAAGACAGAAAGAGACAGAGACAGAAAGCGAGAAATCAGCCCCCAGGGGGGATGGCCACGCTGCAGTCCCTTCTCTTCCATTCTCCTCTTCGGATCTTGGGCACGCATGCACATGCACACAGCATGAGTTAAGCCACCAGGTCCAGGGCTCAAATCACAATTGACTACAAGGGAGTCCAGTGACATAGCCATTACACCAACTGCTGGTCCCAGCTTTTCTTTCATTTTTAAAAAAATGTGTCAGGGGAACCAGCAATTAGCGTAATGGCTATGTCGCTGGACTCCCACGTAGTCGACCGCGGTTTGTGTCCCGGACCCGGTGGCTTAAAACTCACGCCGGACGCGTGTGCATGCGTGCCCAAGATCCCGAGAGGAGAATGGAGGAGAAGGGATTGTGGCGTGACCCCCCCCCCTGGGAGGTGATTTCTGGCTTTCTGTCTCTCTGTCTCTATCTGGCGAGGGCACGCACCCTATAGGGAAAACCTCTCCAAAAAGAAAAAAAAAAAAGTGTCAGAGGGTGCTTGCTCTTACCAGGGAATGGGGAAGATAGCAGAAAAGTGAGAAAGCATCCCTAAGGGGCATGGTCACACCGCAGTCCCTTCTCTCTCTCTCCCTTCTTTTGGGATTTTGGGTATACACTCAAATACACTCAGTGTGTACAAACCATCAGGTTTGGGAACAAGTCAGCAGGTCTGGGACTTAAACTATGATCTGCTATTTGAATCCAGTTGCTTTAAACCACCAATCACAAAGTCAGCTGTGTGTTTTTAAATTTTATTTAATTAAAGAAATTTTTTTTGTATTTAAATTTTTGTTTGTTTGTTTAGGTTTTTGCCATAGGGCACATGGACTCGCAAGAAAGAGACAGAGAGAGAGGGAAAGTGAGAAATCTCCTCCATGGGGGATAGCTATGCTGCAGTCCCTTCTCCATTCTCCTTTTGGGATTTTGGGCACGCATGCAGCTTGAACTGCAGTTGGCTATGTGGGAGTCCAGTGCCTTAACCACTTACTATGCCACTTCCTGGCCCCTAAATTTTTATTTTTGAAAAGGTAATACGTGTATATGGGAACCAGCAGTTAGCATAATGGCTATGTCGCTGGACTCCCACGTAGTCAACCGCGGTTCGTGTCCCAGACCCGGTGGCTTAAAACTCACGCCAGGCACGTATGCGTGCGTGCCCAAGATCCCGAGAGGAGAATGGAGGAGAAGGGATTGCGGCGTGACCATCCCCCCTGGGGGGTGATTTCTCGCTTTCTGTCTCTATGTCTCTCTCTGTCTGTCTGGCGAGCACACGCGCCCTACAGTGAAAATCTCTCAAAAAAAAAAAAAAAAAAAAGGTAATACGTGTATATAATATGGAAGTCGAAAAGTATAACAAAAGAGGGGGCTGGCAGGTAGCATGTTGGTAAAGGCCACTGGACTTCCACATGGTCGAACATGGTTTGATTCGCAGACCTGGCGGCTTGCTTTCTCTCTTTCTCTCTCTCTCTTTGTCTCTCTTTGGTCAAATTTAAATAAATAAAGCTAAATAAAATAAACTTTTTTAAAAAAGTTCCAATTCATTTTTTAAAAAGAAGTATAACAAAAGAGTTAAGTAATTTTTTTTTTTAAAGAGATTTTTTTCGCTGTAGAGGACATGTGCTCACTGGAGAGACAGAGAGTGACAGAAAGCTAGAAGTCACCCCCCCTGGGGAGATAGCCACACCATAATCCCTTCTCTTCCTTTCTCCTCTCAGGATCTAGGACACACATGCACACGTGCTGGATGTGTTTTAAGCCACTGGGTCCAGGACTCAAACTGGTTGACTACATGGGAGTCCAGCAATATAACCATTACACCATCTGCTGGTCTCTTTATCCCTTACTGTAGCTGCACAGTAACCCACTGAGGCTGAATCTTAATTTACTGACCAGTCCTTTGTGTTGGGCTTTGCTGCTTTTCATATGTTCCAGTGATTATCATCGACAGGATTACAGAAGTTCTGATCGTGTATTGTCTCAACTATCATTGACTTTTTATTAGAGTTCTGTTCTCTCATATTACAAATATCGGTTCTTTGTGTAGAAACTGAGAAGTGATCTCTTGAACATCATCCGAGAAAAGAACTTGGCCCACCCTGTTATCCAGAACTTTTCTTACGAGATCTTCCAACAGAAAATGCTGCGCTTCCTGGAGAGCCACCTGGACGACACAGAGCCCTACCTCCTCACGGTGTGCCTTGGCTTTTCTTCCCTTCCCATAGCCTGTATTGTGTGTAGGCAATTTGAAAATTAGAAGTGAAAAGGGTTAATGTATGTATAAGACTTTGGTTTATGTGTACAAATAACTTAAAGAATTATTTAATTTTGTTTATTCATTTTTTATTTTATTTTATTTATTTTTAATTTGACCAGAGGGAGACAGAAAGAGAGAGAGAGAGAAAATGTGAGAAAGCAAGCCTGGTGGCTTACTTTTTTTTTTCTTTTTTAATTTTTAAAATTTTCTTTTTTAATTTTTTTTTAATTTTTAAAATTTTTAAAATTAATTTAATTTTTTGTTTAATTTTTAATTAAAAAAAAATAAAAAGAAGAATATAATGTAAAGAATAGAAGCAGTGAGGCTCAGGACAGCACGGGAAAGAATCAGACCCCCGGCTGTTCTAGGTGGTGGACTGTGATACATGAGCCTGGCCTAGGGTCATTTCCTTTACATTCCAGGTAACTGGAAAATACTTGTCACTGTCTGTATGTGAAAATAAAATGCTTAGCTCTTGGGACCAGCAGTTAGCATAATGGCTATGTCGCTGGACTCCCATGTAGTTGACCGCAGTTCGAGTCCCGGACCCCGGGGCTTAAACC